GCAGAAGGACAGTCACCTCCAGGCCACCGCCGGCTCGGCCCCACACCCCAGATGCACCCACAAGACTCCAAGGGCTCCGCTCCGGGCAGGCGGTGCCCTGACCTCGCATCCAAACGAACCCACCCCGTCCCCCGACCCCGGTGAGCAGCACTGGCAATAAAGGGCAGGGAGAAAAGTCTCGGCCTGAACAGAGGCCCTGAAGTCCCCTGGGAGCTGCCAGAAGCAAACAGGAGGCTTTCCTGCAGGAGACAGCCTCATTCGGCCTCGGGGGTGAGACCCCGCAGAAGCTACAGCTCTTAATACGCTTATAGACCGAAACGACAGACCTCAAGCACCGAATGGGAACCGGAAACTCCAAAACTCGATAAGCGACTTTTAAAATTTATTTGGAGAGAGAGCAGGGCAGAGGGGCAGACAGAACCCCCAGCAGGCTCTGCAGCGTCAGCAGAGCCCAACGCGAGACTCGAACTCACAAACCGTGAGTTCACGACCTGAGCCAAAACCAAGAGTCGGTCACTTAACCCACAGAGGCCCCCCCCCCCTCCGCCCTGAGGTGCCCCTCGATAAGCAACTCTGAAAGAGAACCCACGGCCCTTCGGAAACGACACACGGGACGCTGCGCCCTGCAGAGGCAACTGGCGCCAGCCTGAGCAGAGCAGGGGTGACGTGGGACAAGTGGAAGGTCACGGGAAGAAGTCACCCGAAGTCAGCACAAGAAAGACCACAGTGGAAATTCAGAGACCAGAACCAGAGACGTGAGGGGTGGGGTGACAGGCTGTCCCAGAAGCACAGGGTGGAGAGAGGATCTGAAAAGACAAGGGCTGGCAAGTGTTCAGAACGCACGAGGATGAAGGAAAGCAGGCTGCGGGCCCCTGCCGGCATCAGGCGGGATGCCAGTGACAAGTGCCCGGCCCGTGCGCAGCGGAGAAAAGCCGGCGGGCTTCCTTCAGAACGACAGCACTAGTGAGTCCCGCGGGAGCCAGAGAACAGCCACGCGCCCCCTCCCGCCACGGGAGACCGGCCCAACCCAAATGCCGACCCTACCAAAGTAATATCCCCGGAGGGCGGCCAGAGGAACGTGTCTTCCGACGGCCAGGAAAGAGCTCGCCCCCCGCAGTCTGGAGGACCTACTTCAGGCGAAGGAAAGCAAGGGGCCAAGATGCCACCAGGAGAGAGGGACACCGGGGAGGCACGGGGCTT